ATGAAAAAAAAAGTGTAATGAAGAGTACTTTGAAGGTGATAAGGTTGTTTGTAAAAAAACAAACAAACTTAAATACATAGTGTAAAGGTGAAACAAAGATAAAGGGAAACATAACTGACAGGACAAGGGAGAGCAGAAACAGAAATAGCTTTACTAGGGGGAAATCTCCCGGAAGACGTTCTGTGACCTCAGCCAACAGGTCAAGGAAGTTGTACTCAGCAGCTGGGGTGGGGGTGTGTGTGTGTTTAAAGGGGTGGTGAGGAATATATGGCAATTAGGGCAATTAGCATATGGGGTCTGGACACTCCTAGAATTGCTTGGGGCTTTCTTCAAACCTGGAACATCTGATTCCACTGGTTATCTTATCTGGTGGTTATCTTATCTGGGGCAGTCTGCTGCTGACCTTTGGGATGTGCAGGGAAGCACATGCAGGGCCCGGGCCTGATTCACCTGAGTCCAAACAGGGCTGCCTAGTTCCGACAGGGCCCAAACACATAGCTAAAAAAACAATAAAAAAATTCTGGTACCCCCTGGTAGATCGTACCTCAAATCCAAGTAGTGTTTCATCCTATCAGTGCATCAGCGATCAATAATGCAGATCTAAAGTCAACATTATCAGAGCCTTAGCCAGGTACTAAAAGAGAGAATGTGAGGTTGGCATCAAAGTTTCTGACAGGAGACACTTCATTATCTAGTGCTGCTGTAACAAATACCACACAGGGCTAGCTTTGGCAGAGAGAGATTTATTCTTTCGCAGGTTAGGAGGCTAGAAGTATCAATTGAAGGTCTTAGCTCTAGGAAGAGGTATTTCTCTGTTGGTTCTAAGGGAAGGTTGGTATTTCTTTTCAACATCTGTGGGCCTTTTACCTCAGAGATTTCTATGTCTTTGTCTCAAATTTCCTTCGGGCCCAGGAGATTCTCAGGACAAGGCCCCTGTATGTAAAGGACATGCTCCACTCCCAGTTCATCTTCTTGGTGGTCCTCAGGTGCCTCCCACTCTGCCCGCGTCTGTCTCCTTTTAGCCCTTAGAAGATACAAGGGGATGTGGACCATGCTCCAAGGGAACTCCTCTTCCTGCAGATCAGGGCTGTGATCAGGAAGAGGGTGCTGCATCCCACCGTAATCCTCTTACAACGGATTGGCTGGTCACAGCAGATCACATCATGGGGAACGATCCATCATCACATAACTCCCCAATTATATCGTTATCTAACTGCCAAACCACTGAGCACCACGGTCCAGCCCATTTGACAACTTATTTGGGGGGAACAAAATTCAATCCTTGACAAGTACCAGTCCTGGGAGAGGATGACAGTTAGTGGTAAACAAAGCCCAAAGTGGAACTGAAGTGTTATCACAAGTTTGATTAGTAAAAAGGATATTGGATGGATGACGGGACATGCTCTAAATGGGGTAACGTGGAATTGTGCTATGACTACACCATTACCTTCCTATGTTGAAAACATTTGATACATGGTTAGTGAAAGGGAACAGATAAGAGAGTGTCCCTAGAAGATGTAAGAAATACTGTAGCCTTAATAAAACAATTTAAAAGAAAGTCCTCACGACTTCAGGTATGGGGCTCAGTTTGGATACAATCTACTGAGCCACGCGTTGGCACAATAAAGTCCTTCCTTTGGAAAAAAAAAGAAAGAAATAAAAAGAGAAACAAAACAAAAAGAAATACCGTAGAAGAGCCCATTCCCCCAGGAGGCATTCTGGGCTCTACTCACAGGTACAGGTGTATGAAGGCAGGGAGAACTGTCTCTGAGAAGGTTCCCAGGACTAACCTAAAGAGCCAGCCTGTACGCTAGTTTCAGGCCCTGTTCTGGGAAGAGATGCCATAATCTGCTTCCTCTTTTCCCCCAGGGGGCGGGGGCAGCCAGGAGATGATTCATGAGAACTCCAGAGATGAGACAGCACTATTTCTAAGAGATTTATTTGTGAGTCACATGTCAAATGAATGAAGAAAGCCCTCTCTGGGGTGCTTCAACTTCTTCCATGTAAGCAACTGTGTGTTTCTGAAGAGGAAACTCAAAACGAAGCCCAGTGCCTTCGGGTCAATTCGGACTCCCAGCAAACCTCCCGAGGCTTCCCAACACTGTCAATCTTTAGCTGGAGCACACAGCCTCATCTTTCTCTCCAGGAATGGCTGGTGGGCTTGAAGCCCTGCTCTTGCAGTTACTAACTCAATGCCTAAATGATTTACATAGTGAAGTTCTAATATTTATAATAGTCCTTGAGGAATTTCAGCTTTTCCTGAACCCTATAAGGGATTGCTTATACTTTCGTCTCTAAATTTCCATATCCCTGTTCTTTGGTCATGATATCAATTTACCCTTATAATATTGGTGGTGTTGGTGTCTTGTCCTCCTAAATGCATACTACTAGTAGTCAGCCACAATTGTTGCTGGTCCCAGGATCCTCATTTGCCATACAGGAAGGGTCATCATGAAAGTTTTCTCAAGTAGCTAGGACTTCTAGAATGTGAGGGACCAGGCATCTCCGCAGCTTGTTTTTGTGAGCCTCTGTCTTTTGGAAGCTTCTGCTATTGCTGCCTGTGTTCATGAAATCCCAGTAAGGTGGGAAAGACAAGCGTTCGCTGGAATGTAACCCAGAGGCTCAGTGAGGGATGGGTCAGAGGAGTTAAAGTGAGAACTTGAGCCTCTTGCACTTGTGGTGTGGCAGTCTTCTGAGCCGAGGCACGGAGCCTTGCCCACGGGAACATTTGATAGTCCTTTGTTGTTCAATGAGTTGCCTGTTCACTGTTCTCCAGTTTCGCACCACTCATGAACGGATTTTCTCTTCCAGTTTCCTACTATGTCTACTATGTCGAGACTTTGGGAACTCACATTGAGATCAAGAGAGTGGCAGAGGAAAGGGTCACTTTGCCTTGTCACCATGAGCTGGGGCTTCCAGAGAAAGACACCCTGGATATCGAATGGCTGCTCACAGACCATGAAGGGAACCAAAAAGTGGTATGCATATACCTGGCTAACGTCACCCTCCCCATCCTCCTATTTTCCTTTTTATATGTTATGGAAGCTGACTTTACTTTCATTCTTTGTTGTTTTTTTTTCCAGATAGTTTTTTCTTTCTTTGTTTTCTTAGTTTCCTGGAGTTGACAAAACAAAATGACCACAAATGAGTAGCTTTGAAGAACAGAAGTTTATTTTCTCAGTTCTGGAAACTCATTCAGAATCTTCACTGCGGTTTCTCCTACTTAAATAACTGTCTACACAAACTCTGATACTGTTTGTCATTGTGCTCCCATGGTGCATCATCCAAAGACTCTTTCTGTTCTCTACAGAACAAGGGCACTTTAACCTGAGCACATCTATTACAACTTCGTGGTGAATCATAGAAATGGTGTTTCCAAGAATGGAATCGCAGATTTGAAAAATGTAGTAAGTGTAATGGAGAGTACTTTGAAGGTGATATGGTTGTTTTGTAAAAATTATTAAATACATAGCTTGAGGGGGGAGCGGTTCCAGGTTTTGGGGGGATACCCCTTCCTGTCCCTCTCATATTTAGTGGGAAAATAAAATCACCAGATAAATGGAGGAAAAAAAATGTGCATATTTGTGGGTAAAGTTGCTAGGGCTTTGTAATTGCCCAGTGGTGAGCATTGGAGTGAGGGTGACCGAAAGGGACAATTAAGCAGGGGTGGAAGGAACGTGGGGCTTAAAGAAGCTTGTCAATGACTTAGAGCCCAGTTTAGCTTTTCAGCATCTACAGGAAATATCTCTGAGGGAAGGGGTAAACTGTTCTAGAAAAGTTCAGAATTTTTCAGTGTGGCCTTGGTCGAGCGTGGCCACTGGCCCTCATGAGCCTCCTTCCTCCTGATGTGCTAGTGGAAGCAGTCCTAATCCCAAAGTAAGTACCTCCTCCCTCTCAGAGGTGAGGGACCCGCAACCAACCCCCTTTCATTCTATTTTAAAGATAGATCAATTGGGGCAAAGATACTTCAATTCCCATGCCACGCCTCTTGCACCATCTCCTTCATTCTTTTCCCTTTTCTTTGGCTTCTGAGCAAGGATAATCCTGCTCTAAAGCACAGAGACCCTGCCTCCCTCTTGGTTCAAGCGAGTTTCTAAATGCAAAGAGTTCTACCTGGCCCAGTAGGGCCACTACTAGTAGGATTGACATGGTAGCAATAAGTGTGGTTTCTTTGTTTGTTTGGGAGGGGGGGGCGGGGAAGGGGCATGGCCAGAGAGGTGAGTTGAACCATCGGTTCCCTGCAAGCCCGAACAAAACGCCTTATCTTCTCCCTCCAAAACAAGGTGCAGGCAGATCGGCCGCACAACAGTTAACGCATAGATTTTATTTTTTGTTTGGTTGCTAAATGTGTGTCCCTTATTCCCAGTCACACTTGTCACTTCCTGATCAATAACCACCCCAAGTTGAGTAGAAAGTCAGATGACTAAGTTTATTTGCAGATCCGTCTGTGGAAAGCACTCCCACGCCTTCCAGGACTGTGTCCAGAGCTTCCCAGTTTGCAAGGATTACAACATTTGTATTCTTGGCTGTTCGCTTACAATTATGGACTTTCAAGTGGGAATTCACCCTGGGGATAATCACCAGCTCTCTTCTGCATATCAAGGGCTATCTTGAAGCCAGGGGTTCATTAGTATATGAAGGTTCCTCTTTAGCATTTCAATCTCCTTTTGCTGCCCCTGAGTCAAGGCTGACTCATAGTGACCCCCTGTGGGTTTCTGAGGCTGTTGCTGTTTGGGGGAGTAGAAATTCCAATCTTTCTTCCACTAGGTCAGGTCTAGCCTGCTATGACTAAAGCCAGAGACTAGAAGATTGAAGAGGAACCCTGGTGGTGTAGTGGTTATGCCTTGGGCTGTGATTTGCACAGTCAGCATTTTGAAATCAACCTGGGCTTTCTACTCCAATAAAGTTATAATCTTGGAAACCCACTGGTGATCACTGAGCCAGCATGGATTCGGTAGAAGTAGTTTGAGTGAGAGAGCTGACAAGATTTATAGTTTTGGACCACACTTAGTTACAGCATCGTCTTTTCTAGAATTAAAAAAAGGAGCAAACAAAATCAGTGCCCAAGCACCAGGAATTAAAAATGTCTGAACAAATTTAGCCAAATTGCAAGGCTGTAAGTGAACCTTAGTCTGTATCCAAAGTATGACTTTCTCTGAGTTAATGATGACTAATATATAGTATCATTATATGATTATTTTTGAATTCTATGAGTGGATTTCAAAAAGCTTATAAAATTTTCATCATCCTTTATTTCCATTGGTCCACAAATTTAAAATCCTCCTCACATGATCTTCATTTCCCCAAGATGTGAAATACTTAGAAGTATATTATCTTTGTTGTCTTTATTTAATATACTGACAGGATTTGGGAGGGAGGAGAGAGAAGAGATAGGAGTCCGACGTGCTTGGAGTCAGACAAATAAATTATACATACAGCATCATAAATACTCAGGTACAAATATGCCCGAAGAGCTGACGCTCAAAAGAGAGTCGCTAATTTGGAGGAGAGGGGAGCCAGGAGAGATTACACCATAAAATGACACCCATTTTAGGGTACAAAAGAGACCACAATTTCAAATATAAGTTAAGGAGAACATTTATTAAGTCTTAAAAGGGACAAAGACTAAACAAAGACACAGACATCATCAGGATGAGGGATGCTATTAGCAGAAGGTCAAAATGGCATCTGAGGGAGGGTCTGTTGAGTTATAGTGCTTTAAAAAAGGACATGACAGGGCAAAGTTAATTGTCACAAAAGCATGATTGGTGACAGATCATTACATCGCAGTTACAGATAGGACCACAGAAGAAGGACCAGGACCAGGACCAGGATTGAGACACATACATTTAGATAGAAGGGCTTACAAGATTGTTCCAGGGCCTTCTGACCAATGTAGTCAGGACCCAACTGATAGGGCATGACTTATAAGTATGTGATTCCCTGTACTGTCCCCAGAAGAGTGATCTCCATCAAAGACACACCCAGGACAGTCCCTAAGGGAGACTGCCCCTCCCCAGACTGGAGAACTGGAGAGGTGATCTGCTTTCTACATGCACTCTGCCTGAGGCCAAGCGTATATGCATCCTTAATCAATGCACCTAAGGAATTCAATGGAGGGCTACTTGCTGTGGGGGCTCAGCAAATGGACTTGGGGCTGCTACTGCCTTCACAAACCAGAGTGCTCAGATTTTAACTCTAATATATACTTCAGTGTGATCTGGAGACAGAGAAAAATGACCGAATCAAAGCTACAACAGAGAACCTGGCTTGTCAGAATCCAGGCACATCAGGCTTGGGCTTAGGCCACTCAGATATGAGACCAGGAACCAAACAAGAGTCATGGTTCAGACTGCACTGGCCTTAAGTACCTGTCAGGGTAGCCAGCCCCTAACAAATCATCACGGGTCTCTAGGCGCAATTGTACAGCCATAATAAGTAAAGATTATAGTAAAGTCACTGAGAATAGGGAGAGATGGCAGAGAGAGAATAAAATAAAGAAGTCAGACATATCATGGTAGCTGGCTCACCTCAGCTACTCTTGGTGGTACAGGTGGAGGTGTGGGACCAGCAGGCAGGAGAGAGCTCTAGTGACGTTTTATTTCTAACCAAAGTTTATATATCTGTGGGGGCAAGCAAGTCCTGTGATGCCACATAACAATGTACTTCATGAGAAGGAGGGGGATGACCTAGGGGTGTACACATATTACAGGTAGGGAGTAGGGGTACATATGTGATAAGATGGGTGGACCCTAGACTCAATATAGTAGCCTAAATTTAGTCATCCTTGAGTGGTCCTGGGCTTGCCTTAGGGCACTCCTTCAAGCGAACAGTATCAGAAGGGAGTGGGCCCTACTTAGGGTGAGTCAGACTATATAGTTGGGTTGCTCTAGATACCCTTAAGGAGAATAACCTCTGAACTACTTTCAATGACCTAGTGTACAGTCATTTATCATGTATAGCAAGCAGGGCTTGGCATATATTTGGGGGAGACAACTTGGGAGAAATCTTTTTTTTTAACCATTTTATTGGGGGCTGGTACAACTTTTTTTTTAAATCGTTTTATTAGGAGCTCATACAACTCTTATCGCAATCCATACATACATCAATTGTGTAAAGCACATTTGTATGTCCATTGCCCTCATCATTCTCAAAACATTTGCTCTCTACTTAAGCCCCTGGCATCAGCTCACTTTTCTCTCTCCCTCCCCCATGAACCCTTGATAATTTATAAATTATTTTGTCATATCTTGCTCTGTCCGA